ATTAACAACAAACCATGTGCTGGATTTTTTAGAAACAAGCAAAATATCTAATATATTATTTTGTAATTTTATTTCTTTGCAATAATAGATCTATAGTAAAATTCAAGTAGGCTAATATAGATGTATACTACAGTAGGCTATAGTCTAGACTGTAGATAAATCACTTCATTTAACTGGAGGAGAACTTAGGTAGACCATTACAGTGGTTGGTATGCCTTCCACACTGTAACGAGCTGCCATTTAGAAGGTTTTTGACAGGCGTGGATTTTGCTCGAACTACAGGACCTTCCACATCGACAGGTACAATTAGCTCAGCTCTAGAATATGATCCAAATGAATTGCCTGTCGTTAATTATTTGCCAATTACTGGTAAAGTGACTGATTGTGATGAAGCTGTCAAGAAGGATCTTAGCACAGACCAACTGTAGTTTTTGAAAGCATGTCTAGCAGTACAGCGTGGACGTCAGGCTTCAACAGATATTGATTTCCTCGAGAAGAGTTTACCTGGAAATATAAGTCATGCTCGATGGTTGACGAAAGCCAACAGGATTTTGCGTCTCTATATGTCTAGAGAAGTGGCATCTGAACCTCTCAGAAGAGTAACGCATTTCATTTTGAACTTTACGGACCCTCTTGGTTCAAAATTAAATCGAATTCTTCTTGCCGAAATGGTGCTAACAACTTCTTTTACTTAGTTCAGTTGTTTCGGGAACTTGATGCCTTAGATCAGGCTGTGGTTCGTCCTGTTCTCAAAAATAACTGCTACTTTGCGCATGCTGAAAACATTCTCTTAGCTGCAGTTAGTGATAGTGATATGGAAATTCGTCGTTTTTCAGTAGAACAAATAATAAGAGCAAGAGAGAAGCAGACTAATAGTAACATACCGGTTAGCGTCTTTGATAAGAAGGATATAACATTAAATCTGGCTGCGACATCGTTCATTAACATGATTGACTGGGACCAGAGTAATGTTACGTCTCCTCCGATGCTATCACACCTTTCAAATGATCAACTTACTTACACACATCCAATACTACTGCCCGATGTTCCATGTCATTCACAGGCAGTAGAGAGAACAATTAAAGACGTTAGCGCTGCCAGCTGTAAAGTTTATGGGAGAAAGTCCTGTCATGGCATGGTGCTACAGAGTAAGAAATCCAGATTAGAGATACCAAAAACAGACAGCAAGAAAGATTTTATTAACAGTTAGGTTAAACAACTTTGTATTGTTGCTGTTTAACATTGATTCGTTACAGTTTACCTTCTTTTTAATTTGTAATACATTGCAATACATTACATTAACATTGGGTATTTATGTAGTCTTTCTAGTCAGAGTTGGGACCTGTAGACACTGTCCATAAAATAAAAAGTGAGGTTTTTTCAAACGAGTACAT